AAAGCAAAAGTTAATTTAAGTGTGTCTTGCTACCCATATGTTCATTGTACTATATCTTTGTGCAACAACATTCAATGAAATATATTTGTGTATACTACCAAGAATAAATAAAAATATGTAAATCAATCAATATTTATTTGTTCTGTTGTGCCTGATATGTAGCCCATTGAGATTTGAATATCTGCACAAATTGAGCATTTGAGTAATCTGAAAGCAAAAAAAAAATATTTGTTTCTGGTGATCATGCGTGTCTGTTTAGTTTTTTTTTTTAAATATCATTAGTATTTTTTCTGTAAAATAGTTGGAAACTACTACATTCATCTACTTATTGAGATATCTGCAATATCTTGTGTGATTTTTCAATAATTGAAACATTTGTTTTTTGCAACACTAGATTTTTTCTTGAAACTAATTTATTGAAATGTAATGCAAGTGTTTGTAATGTTTTGTTCTGTTTTACAAACATGAGAAAGATCTGACAACTATTTTTGACTGCCAAAATAAAAGATGAAATTATGTATTGGCGAGTTACCAAAGCCTATAATGACACGCTAAAGTACCATCTGCATAAGTGTAAGCATAAATAAATGTAAAAAAACAATATATATATATAAAAAAACTCCTTCAGTGAAATTTAATTTTGTTTGTTTTGAATTGAAATGAAATGAATTGCAACATTTTTGTTTTGACATTTTTGTTGTCCAAAAATTAACAGATTAGGAAATATTTCAGATGTTGTTTTTCTCTCAATGCCCCCCCCCCCTCATGTATTGGTCATAAAATTAGGTGTTAATTTCTGGTCTACAAGCTCAGGAGTTCAGTCAACCACAGTCCCTCTATCATGATAACCTATAACTCATTAGTTGGAACAAGTTTATTTTTGTTTCATGCATTGGTGGCATACTTCACTGACATCACCATGTTGTATACTAAACGAATAATTCACTACGCAACCATTTGTCATATTTTACTGGTTCAGTGTCAGAGAATGTTAAGAAGGCGTGGTACGTACGAGTGTACTATCACTAGTCCTTTTTTTGTCACTTGCTGGCCCTCCAAAAAAAATGTGGTATGCTTATAAAACTAAGACTGAATATGTATTAAAAGCACAACAGTTGTCGCGATGTGCTGTGTTCGGATATGGGTGCCACGTGACATACAACACGTGTCAAATACAAATGTATTTTTGTTTACACAAAACTACAACTCGTGCTGTACGACCACTATGGTGCTTTATGATTTCCTTTCGTTTACGTTTTAAAAAATACTTAGAATACTAGAAGTCAAACGTCTTCACCAATAAAATAAAAACTCATCGCCTTCATCTAGTACGTTGACGATAAAAAAGACAACCAACTGTTAACACAACAGAACATGAGTTCCATTTTATTTTCCAAAACTCTTGTTCAATACATCGTTTAAAGCTTATTGAAATAATTTATTATATATAAATAATACTGAGAACAATTCATTGTTAGCTATGTGATAAATATTTACTTGATAGTGATATATACATAATATAATAATACCTATTTGTACTATTATTCTAACAACATGTAGTCTTAAAGTTCTAAATAAATAAAAAATGAAAATTCACACGACAATTTCGAATACGTGAGAAACATATTCCAGTTGCAGTAAACTTAAAACAGTGTTCAAGATGGAGAATTATGTACACGTTTAAGTTACTGTCAAGTTATCCATTCAGCTCGTGTGACGCGGTCTCTGAGTCAGAGTGCGCCCTCATAAGTGTAGATGAAAAATCAAACCGGTAATGTTGATAGTGCTGGCGTTTGGTCAAGCCTCCAAACCGCGAAAAGAAGATACAACATGTAACGACTCTATGTTTTCTTACGAAATGATTTGAACACATACGTAGAGTAAAGTTCACCTGTACGTTTTGAACACATGGTTGACGTGTATGATTTGAACACATACGTACAGTAAAGTTCACCTGTACGTTTTGAACACATACGTACAGTAAAGTTCACCTGTACGTTTTGAACACATGGTTGACGTGTATGATTTGAACACATACGTACAGTAAAGTTGACCTGTACGTTTTGAACACATACGTACAGTAAAGTTGACCTGTACGTTTGAACACATACGTACAGTAAAGTTGACCTGTACGTTTTGAACACATACGTACAGTAAAGTTGACCTGTATGTTTAGAACACATACGTACAGTAAAGTTAACCTGTATGTTTAGAACACATACGTACAGTAAAGTTGACATGTATGTTTAGAACACATACGTAGATGGAGAATCATGTCAAGTTATCCATTCAGCTCGATCGTGTGACGCGGTCTCTGAGTCAGAGTGCGCCCCCATAAGTGTAGATGAAAAATCAAACCGGTAATGTTGATAGTGCTGGCGTTTGGTCAAGCCTCCAAACCGCGAAAAGAAGATACAACATGTAACGACTCTGTTTTCTTACGAAATGATTTGAACACATACGTACAGTAAAGTTCACCTGTACGTTTTGAACACATGGTTGACGTGTATGATTTGAACGCATACGTACAGTAAAGTTCACCTGTATGTTTTGAACACATACGTACAGTAAAGTTCACCTGTACGTTTTGAACACATGGTTGACGTGTATGATTTGAACACATACGTACAGTAAAGTTGACCTGTACGTTTTGAACACATACGTACAGTAAAGTTGACCTGTACGTTTTGAACACATACATACAGTAAAGTTGACCTGTACATTTTGAACACATACGTACAGTAAAGTTGACCTGTACGTTTTGAACACGTACGTACAGTAAAGTTGACCTGTACGTTTTGAACACATACGTACAGTAAAGTTGACCTGTACGTTTTGAACACATACGTACAGTAAAGTTGACCTGTATGTTTAGAACACATACGTACAGTAAAGTTAACCTGTATGTTTAGAACACATACGTACAGTAAAGTTGACATGTATGTTTAGAACACATACGTGCAGTAAAGTTGACCTGTATGTTTAGAACACATACGTACAGTAAAGTTGACCTGTATGATTTGAACACATACGTACAGTAAAGTTGACCTGTATGTTTTGAACACATACGTACAGTAAAGTTGACCTGTATGTTTAGAACACATACGTACAGTAAAGTTAACCTGTATGTTTAGAACACATACGTACAGTAAAGTTGACATGTATGTTTAGAACACCTACGTAGATGGAGAATCATGTCAAGTTATCCATTCAGCTCGATCGTGTGACGCGGTCTCTGAGTCAGAGTGCGCCCCCATAAGTGTAGATGAAAAATCAAACCGGTAATGTTGATAGTGCTGGCGTTTGGTCGAGCCTCCAAACAGCGAAAAGAAGATACAACATGTAACGACTCTATGTTTTCTTACGTCCATTGATGATGCAGACGGCATAGTTTGTCGAGCAATTGTATATATACACACAGTCCTATTGCGTCAATAAATGAACTTATTTTGAGCCACTGGTACTCCTGGTGATATCGCCTGGGCAATATTTCACTTTGATTCAATTGCACGTAGTCCTGACCCGGACACACAAACCAGCCAACTGTGGCCAACAATCAAAATGCTACATCGCCGTTAGGTGATCTAGAGTTGCAAGCGATTCAGACATAGAGAGAGTCCTTGTACGTTCCTCTTCCACGGTAATCACGGCAACCGTACTCTTCTTTTGCTCGGAGACAAGATGTTTGTTAACGTATGGTGTAATGAAAGCCAGTATTGACGAGACAATGAGAAGCGAACCAACAGAATAAAACGCCCCGTCATAATCACCCTGTATATCTCGCATCCACCCTGCGTGGAAAGAAGTGACAAATGGTTAGATGTTTTTTCATAAAATCTCACAATCCTATTGCTTGAATAAATTATACATGATATATTGGATTTTATTCAATCCAATTTTAAGAGGATCCACTGGGTGTCGCATCCTGTCAATTATCCCCTTCGCGGCAAATGCGTAGTTTTACACGATTCAGAAGTCACTATATTTACACTCGTCGTTAACCTAGGCACGTACTCACCTGCAAACGGGGATCCTAGCATAGCAGCCAATCCTTGCATCTGCATCGTCATAGACAACGAGTGGTCGAGTTTGTCGGCGCCGAGGAAGTAATGTAACACCACTGGAAGCATTGGGATGTAGCACGCCATACAAAGACCAAATATAAGAACGAACGCTAGCTGTCCTGTCAAATG